GGATAATCAAAAAATGATTGTGACAGAAAAGGCCTTTGGTGCTACATGAGCACATGGAGGCCACTCAGTGAGAGAGAAACTGTTTCTGTGGAGAATGGACTGCGGTGACACAGAATAAACCTGGGAATGAGTGAATTTCCTCTGCAGGATAAAGCACAGGGGAGTGCACAGCACCCCTGTCACCTGAGGATGGGGGACACCCGGAGACACGCCAGAGAGGAGGGGGCAGGGCAGAGCTGGGGGAAAGCTCTGGAAAGGTCAGAGCCTGGGTTGATCCTGGTCAATTTCTGACTTGTTTCTGCTCACCTCTATCAGAGCTGCTCACAATGTTTCCTTTTCTCAGACCCTAGGGCTTAAGTGAGGAGTTGTTATTTAACCAGAGACCAGGGTGCACAGGACAAGCACCTGTGTTAAAAGGTGCTGTATCCCAGAACCACAGGGGATACACAGTGGTTTCATTCCATCAAATAAATTCTCCTCTGAGATAACGCAGTGTTCTTCCATGTTATTTTATAGTACTTCCATGGTTTTTCACATTTAGTTTTTATATTTATCTCTCTCCCCCCACATATACATATACATGTACTGCATTTTAATGTATATACAAATGCTTTTAAACACATGAAAATATGCCCAACCTCAGACATATTAAAAATAAATAACATTTTGAAAGGCTGTGGGTGGGAAAAATGGAGAGATATGGTCAATGGTATAAAGTTTCTGCTAGATACATTTAAAAAAAATCAGGAGACAACAGATGCTGGAGAGGATGTAGAGAAATAGGAATGCTTTTACACTGTTGGTGGGAGTGTAAATTAATTCAACCATTGTGGAAGACAGTGTGGCAATCAAGGATCTAGAAAGAGAAATACCATTTGACCCATTACTGGGTATATGCCCAAATAATTATAAATTATTCTATTATAAAGACACATGCACACATGTTTATTGTGGTACTGTTCACAATAGCAAAGACTTGGAACCAACAAATGCCCATCAATGCTAGACTGGATAAAGAAAATGTGGCACATATACATCATAAAATACTATGTAGCCACAAAAAAGGATGAGTTCATGTCGTTTGCAGGGACATGGGTGAAACTGGAAACCATCATTCTCAGCAAACTGACACAAGAACAGAAAACCAAACACCTCATGTTCTCACTCATAAGTTGGTATTGAACGATGAGAACACACGGACACAGAGGGGAACATCACACACCGGGACCTGGGGGGTGGGAGACCAGGGGAGGAATAGCAGGGGGTGAGGGGATTTCGGAGGGATAGCATTAGGAGAAATACCTAATGTAGATGACTGGGCAATGGATGCAGCAAACCACCACCATGGCACATGTATACCTATGTAACAAACCTGCACGATCTGCACATGTACCCCAGAACTTAAAGTATAATAAAAAATATTAATAATAAAATAAATAAGTTTCTGCTACATGAAAAAGATAAGTTTTTTGGGAACTATTGAACAGCATGGTGATTATAGTTGATAATGAATTATATTTCAAAATTGCTAAGAGTATACATTTCAAATGTTCTCACCACAAAATACAAGTATTCACATGTTGAACATGTTAATTAGCTTGATTTAATCATTCTATATTATAAACACATAATATCATGTTGTACCCTATAAATATATAATTTGTCAATTTACAATAACATTTTAAAATATAATGAAAAAACACTTTTTATCTAGCAGATCGACAAAGATTAAAAAGTTTGATAATATAGAGAGCTGACAAGAGTGCCTATGCAGACAGCTTCCTCATATCTTACTGTTTGGAAAGTAGATTTGCTCAACTCTAAATGCAGCAATATGTAATATCAGTTAAATGCACATATTCTTGGACACACAATTTCAATTCTAGAAATTTATTCCATAGATATATGTTCATGTACTCATTTT